ATCTATACAAATCATTTCTGGAATTATGTCCCTATTGAAGTAAAGAGCTAGGAATTATGTCCTCTAGGGACGTGGACGTAAAGGACGTAAATTTTATATGTTAAATACTTTAGGGACCCATCTTTAGTCACAAGTATACCCCTTAGGATAGAACATCCCATGATATAAGCAATCTTCTGTACTCCCGACCAGATCCTCGCTACTATTGGACATATGAAACTCTTACTGATAGTTGTATAACTAATGGTTTTAGCCATCTGTATCTTTCTTTCTGCTATTAGAAAGATCCCATGAAATTTCTTTCCCTTTTGAAGATATTTCCTGGATAATACTTGATCAGAAAGTTTACCAATTAGATTATCTATCTTTTCGACCTATGGAATATAGTCTACCTATAAGACTCCTTGATCACCGAAACAATTCAAATTGCTCTCTATCATGAGTTACAAGTGCAGTGACACAAAATCCCTATTTGGAATATGTGAATTGTCCCCCAGCTGGAGTTGAACCATGGGTCATAGATTAGCCCTATTCTGCCTTAGTCCACTGGACTATGACTGGATAGGTCAGATTTAATTTTTATTGATTTATCTTTTATAATTGCAAATATCTTTATTTAATATAGTTATAATTTTTTCAAATATATTTCTAAATTAACAGGATATATTATTTTAAAATTTTTTTTAATATTAATTAATTAATTATTATAAATAAATTATTATTAATTTATTGTATATATATATAGTATAAGAGATATTGGTTCTTTTATAATATATACTTTATATTATACAAATCAAATAAAGAAATAATGATTATTATTAAAAAAAATTTTTTTAAAAAAAATATTATTATTATAAAATAATAAAAAGTTTTTTTAAATAATTTTAATTTTAACTATTTTAATAATATATATATATATATTATTTTATTTTATTTTTTAGTTATTGAATTGTAATCTAAATAAGAGTTCAAAGACTTTGCATCAGATTGTATATAATATGCTTTGTTTTTAAACTTAACAAATTACCAATTACTCTTTAATTTATTATAAATTTTTTATTATTTGATTTTATAAATTATTACATAATCAGTAATTTATGCAGGAATTTTTGTATACATGCAATATAAAATATCCGAAAACATAAAAATAATTATATATATGGATATCATTCCGGAGTCTATTCTCAACTTAAAGTACAATCTGATCCAAAAAAACCAGAATTCTTTTTTTTTAGAAAGATCACTGTAAGTTATGCAATTGCTACCCAATTAAAATTTTTTTGTATAAAAAGGAAAACCAAGGGTTGTGTATTATATTACCAGTTAATATTTTCTCAATCTTTAACTAGTTTCGCAGAAAGGGCCTCTAGAATATCGGTTAAAAGGAAAAAACGTCAGTGTAAGATTTTATTATATTTGTGGGAAGACGGTGTACGTGATGCAAAAAAAATATATGCACTCACAAAGTTTCCTCTTTTAACTATCTATGAAAACTTAAATAAGCTTAAAAAAGTCAGATCTAACGAACATGCGGGTGGAAATGGCCGGCCAAAAAAGATCGATAGAGCTTCTTCAAAAGCGCTTGGGCAGTACATTTATTGGGACAACTCTTTATTAACAAGAAATCTTACAGTTAAATTGCTAAAAAGAGGTGTAGAAGTGTCACATCAAACTATTGGATAATATTTAAAGGAAATTGGATATTCAAAAAGCCTTCCACGAGCCACTCCTATGCTTACCGAAGTGTATAAACAAAATCGGATACTATGGACACAAAATCATCTCAATGATATATGGGAACAAACATTTTTTTCTGATGAAATGGTATTTGAACTCTACCGGAATACTGTTAGATGTTGGCACAAGGGTGCACAACCACTTTGTATTATGCCGAAAAGTCGGATAAAGATCCTTGCTTGGGGGATTCTATATTAGAGGAAAATCAAGTTTATTTCTTTTTCAACAGATCATGAACACAAGTTTTTATATGGGAATTCTTTGTGAACATGTTTCAAAAATTAAAAGAATACTTGATAACGAGTAAGGCTCCTAACGATACCACTTCGATACCTGTTCGATACCAGTTCGATACTCAATTTATTATAAATTTATATGAGTGGGTCACAACCCATATATTAAATTTACTATAGATCGATACTATTTTGATACCATTTCAATATCGGTTCGATACTTTTCGGAGCCCTAGTTGTGGAGGGTAAGTAATTTTATTTTCTTATTCAGTCAATATTAAATTTTAAGATTTATGAGCTAGAATTTAATAATAATTCCTAAAAAGTAATTTATCAATAATAATACTGATCGATTATACCTTCTTTCTCTTGTAGCAAGGATTTTACTTCCATTCCAAAAGAAATTTCATCTTTGATGTTGCTTTTTCTATTATTTTCATCTACATTATATGAAGTATCATCAAAAATTGAAGTTGCAGAAGATTCTTGAGTGCCAAATTTCCCTATCAATGAATCTCCTGTATTTATGAATCCTGAATCAAATATGTTTTTATTTAGTGAAGAAGACACATAATTTGAAAATCTGAGTAACTTCAAATAAAATATTAATTGAAATATTTATTCATTAAAACACTATATACATCAAATATTCTTCGAGTGGTCAAATTTGTATTGAGAACTTACTTTGTTTTGTGATTGAAACATGCTTGAAATCGAATTACCACAATTCAGATTTTTTTCAGTAAAATTTATAAATGTCCTATTATTTGACTAAAACATTAAATTACAAAAAAATCATATTTCTTTTTTGATTGAACCATTATTTGTCACCTTCGTCTAAGGAATCAGTTTGAATTTGAAAGAAAAATAATAATAAAAATAATAAAATAAAAGGAATAAGTTGAAAAAGGAATAGGAAAAAAAAAAACTTTCAAGTATGTATAAAATAACTTTACTACTAAGGTCTCTATCTCAGTGACTTTGAGTAAGCCTTCATGTTTCCTCTTACATTTACACCCTTTACATATTTAATTCTTATCTTTTATTTATATTTCTCAATTTTTTTATTAAAGTATATTCTATTCAAATGTAAAATAAAGTGCTTCTCATTGAACTTCTGAATTACTTTGTGGATTATCAAATTACTTTGACAGTTTATAAAGTAAAACACAAAGTTTCTAATTTTTTTTGTCTTACCCTTCCTGAATTTGTATTTGTGGTCCCAAATTTATTCTTGTGACCGAAAATCATTATTTTAATAATACTTTATTATAATAAAATAATTTATAAAA